AAATATGATTAAGCTAGCTAGATATTGCCAAATTCCTAGCAGTGTATGAGAGTGTTCCTTACAGCTTTGCCATTAGAGTCTGGTGTCATACATTTGAGTTGTTGTTAATTTGTTATTGTGGTGAAGTTTTAGCTTGAGAAATATATTTTTATTATGAGCAAGGCTAAGCGACTTTCCATTGGTTTAAGAGCAGTTGGCTACTGCGTGTGTGTGTGTGTGTGTGTGTGTGTGTGTGTGTGTGTGTGGTGTGTGGTGTGTGGTCTGGGTTATCTCTCTGTCTTTTGCACACTTTTCTGTGCAGTTATTAATCTTTTTCTTTTCAATTCAGAGAGGCTTTTTTAGTGGGTATAAGTAATTTATCTGGAATAAGTTGCTAATGGTTTTTTGCCAGTTTGCTATATTTTTCTAAATTTGCTTACAGTGTTTTCAGCCACTCAGTAGATTTTTGTTTTTACATAGTCACATTATCAGTCTTTTCCCCCTTTTCCCCTGTTGCATCTTGGTTTGATTCCTAGTTAGGAAAGTTTTCCCCATTCTGAGGTTATTAAGGAATTCATGTTTAAAAAAAATGCTTTCATGGTTTTATTTTTTATATTTAGAACTGGTTCATTTGCTTTTTATGCTGGTATATATGTTGTGAGGAACAGACCAGTTTTAACTATTTCTATCTGGCTATTCACGTTGTCCCAATATTGCTGATTTATAATAAGTTGATCTTTTCTCCCACTGAGTTGATATGATGCCATCTTTATCATTTACTAAAGTTCCATATATACTTGGGTGTAATTCTGTTTTATTTCATGTTCCTTTCGCAGTATCACACTTTTTAATTACAGGAATTCACTATTCTGTCTTAAATTGTCTAGGCTGGTAGAACCTAGTGCCCACCCCACCTTTCTCTTTCAGATATTTTCATTGCTATTCTTACTTAGTTATTTTCCTGTGTGGATATAACGTCAGCTTATCTAATTGTAGGAAGAAAACAAGGTATTTTTAAAAATAGAGCTTTGTTTAATTTATAAATTACTTAGGGAAAATCTTTATCATGTTGAGCCTTCCTAAGAATGTATCCATTTTTTTCATTTATAGTTTTTTGCCTTTTAAAAGTGTTTTGTAATTTATCTCTGAAGTATTTTGCACATTTCTTAAATTAAAAAAAATTTATTTATTATAAATGGGACCTCCATTTTTTTCTTTTAACTGGTAGCTATGTTAATGACTACTGTATGGTTTTTTTTTAGATGTTTTTTAAAATTTTTATTTTATTATTTATTTTATTTTTGGCTGTGTTGGGTCTTCATTGCTGCGCGCGGGCTCTTTAGTTGCAGAGAGCAGGTGCTACTCTTCGTTGAGGTGTGCAGGTTTCTCATTGCAGCGGCTTCTCTTGTTGTGGAGCACAGGCTCTAGGCACGGGGGCTTCAGTAGTTGTGGCTTGCAGGCTCTAGAGCGCAGGCTCAGTAGTTGTGGTGCACAGACTTAGTTGCTCCATGGCATGTGGGATCTTCCCGGACCAGGGCTCGAACCCGTGTCCCCTGCATTGGCAGGCGGGTTCTTAACCACTGCGCCACCAGGGAAGCCCAGTGACTACTTATGTTTTATTTCTGCTGTTTTTCTAAATTGTGTCACTGTTTTTAACAGTTTTTTAATTTGAATATATATGTCCTTTCAGAGAACAAACATTCAGGTCATCTGCATACAGAGATAGTTTTAGCTCTTCTGTTTCAATTCTTACTCTAATTCAGTACTGTCTAATAGAAACAGAATGCAAGACATTATATTTTAATTTAAAATAATCGGTTAGTCTCATTTTTGAAAGCTCTGTTCATTTTAATAATATTTTTATTTAACCCAATATATCAATAGATTATTCCAGTATGTAACCAATATAACAAATTATCAAGATATTTTATTTTTTTTAGTTGTTGTAGTAAGTTTTTGAAATCCCATGTACATTTTACACTTCAGGCATATTTGGACTAGCCACATTTCAAGTGTTCAGTTGCCACACGTAGCTAGTAGCAGTTGTATTGGGCTGTGCTACTCTGGATACTCTGTGTGTAACTGTGTTACTTAATAACATCAAAGATAGTGAGATAGATGGATCAAATACACAATCTTTGTTAATCTACTTTGAACTCAATATCATCAATATATTTCCATATCAATATTGTACTTCTACGGTGTTTTTCAAAGTGCATGGTATGATATAGGTGAACCATAATAACCCATTTGTTTGTTTATTTGGTTTGTTTTTTTTGCTTAATGTTTTTAGGTATTTTATTATTATATTGGTTTTAGTGAACATGCCTATAGATAAATCTTTCCTATCTTTTATCTCCTTGTGCTAAATATCTATAAAAGCCCTTGCTATGTAAAAGGGTACATGATTGTTAAAGCTTTGGGTGCATGTTGCCAAATTATATTTTGTAAATATACCAGTTTACTACTGGCACTATATATTAGTGTCTGTGTATCTTGCACCTTTGTTAATACCGTGTAGTTTTTCTTTTGAAATATTTTCCCTTTAGTTAAAAGTGGTATATTGTTTGATTTGTATATTTTGATTAATAGTGAGATTAAGTATATAGGCATTTTTTGTGTATTGACAGTTAATTTCGTTTTTCATTTTCTCTTGTAGTACTGGTCCTTTTTTGGTACTGATTTGTAAGACTTCGTTTTTTGTTTGTTTGTTTTTGCGGTACGCGGGCCTCTCACTGTTGTGGCCTCTCCCATTGCGGAGCACAGGCTCTGGATGCACAGGCTCAGCGGCCATGGGCCACGGGCCCAGCCGCTCCACGACATGTGGGATCCTCCCGGACTGGGGCACGAACCCTCATCCCCTGCATCGGCAGGCGGACTCTCAACCACTGCGCCAGCAGGGAAGCCCCAAGACTGTGTTTTATATTAAGAAAATTAATCTGTTATGTTGCAAATAGGTTTCTTCAGCTTGTCATTTATTTGCCTTTTACCTCTATTTCATATTTATTTCTTACATATGTGTTTCTAAATTTTTATTTAGTGAAATTTGTCAGTTTTTTAATAGGTTTGTTTTTGGTATAATTCCCAATCTGCCTTTGGGGTTACACATTTGTCCCAGTACTATTCTGCCTCTTTTTTTCCTTCACTGATTTAAAATGGCTGTTTTCATAGTTAGTAGATACATATTTGGGATTTTTTTTTCTGATATATATTATATGCATTTTTCTGTCTGTCCCAATAGTACAGTAGGTCATATTAATTTCTGGTAGGGCAAATGTTTATTTTCAGAAACGTTTTGGTTGATACTCTGGTTTTGTTTTCTTCAAGGTGAACTTTAGAATTAGTTTCTCAAGTGTTCTTTCAGCAAAAGAAATAACAAATCATTGGTCCTTTTACTGAAATTGCATTAAAATACAGAATTTTACAATTTGGTGAATCCTTAATAAATTTGTGTAATTGTTAAAGTTTATTCCTAGTTGTTTGTAGTATTTTTTTTCTATTGCAGAGTCATTTAAATTTTACTTTCTAATTGTTTCTAATTTTAATTTCTAATTGTTGCTGGCATATAGAAAGTCTTTTTTTGTGTATGATTTGTTTTTCTAACGCAGCTACTTTTTTTTAATTCTTTTGGATCTTTTAGAATCGTCATCTTATCTACCAATAATCATGTTTTTGTCACTTTCAGTTTTTATACTTTGTTTTTAATTTTACTTACTAACTTCTAGGATAGTTAGTAATAATGAACATTCTTGTCTTGTGTACAGCATCTGACATTTTACTATTAAATATGACAATAGTTGTTGGTTTCAGAGAGGTACCATTATAAACTTTTAGGAAAGAATCTTTCTGTTTACTGTGAAATCTTTCCTCTGTTCTGTTTTTTTTTTTTTTTGTGGCCGTGCCACACAGCTTGCAGGATCCCTGGACCAGGGATCAAACCTGGGCCCCGCCGTGAAAGCGCTGTGTCCTAACCACTGGACCGTCCGGGAATTCCCTTTGCTCTGTTTTTAATCACGAAATGATCATGAACTTTCTTCAGATGCCTTTTTTTGGCATATTGATAACTTTTTTACTTTGAAAGATAGATGTATTGAATTTTATTAGCTTTTCCATTCTTGAATTGATAAATTAAACTGCCTGATTGAGATATTTGTAGATATAGCTTTAGATTCAATTTGTGCAGGTTTCATTTAGGAATTTTGAATCTATCGTATGTATGTTGTGTATGTGCTATGTGCTGTTTTAGGTTTTAGTAGCAGGATTAATAAGCTGGTATTATAAAACAAAGTTGTAATTTGTATGCTTTCAAATGTTCTGGAGCTGTATAAAAGAACTAAATTATACGTTTATTGAAAACTTAATAGAAGTCATCTAAAGCCCGACTGGGCCCAGACTTTTTTTTTTTTATTAAAAGTAATTCTTAGGGCTTCCCTGGTGGCGCAGTGGTTGAGAGTCCGCCTGCTGATGCAGGGGACACGGGTTCGTGCCCTGGTCTGGGAAGATCCCATATGCTGCGGAGCGGCTGGGCCCGTGAGCCATGGCCGCTGAGCCTGCGCATCCGGAGCCTGTGCTCCGCAACGGGAGAGGCCACAGCAGTGAGAGGCCTGTGTACCGCAAAAAAAAAAAAAAAAAAAAAGTAATTCTTATAACATCTTTAAATTTTCTTTGATGAACTATACTGATTTTATTCAGCTTCTGCTGAGAGACAATTTGTTCAATATGTAAAACAGCTAAGAATTTATTTTACATCAATCATACCCAGAAACTATGCAGTGTGGAAATTAGCAGTGTTGATTTTATATCATAGCAGTTTTCTTTGGGAGAAGAAAACTGGCTAGATATTTCCTTGGGATGGTATTGATATTAAATTCAGAGAGAAAAGGATGAACATTATTAAATGACAGAAGTAGCAGTTCTTTTCAAGGATTAGTTTTCTCCCCAGCATTTTATTTTTAAAAAATTCTGAGCCTATAGAAAAGTTGTAAGAAAAAAATCTTTAATGTATTAATTGTTGTTCTTAGGTGCATTTTATCTGGTGTTTGAATATATGGACCATGATCTGATGGGACTACTGGAATCAGGCTTGGTTCATTTTAATGAAAATCACATAAAGTCATTCATGAGACAGCTCATGGAAGGTCTGGATTATTGTCATAAGAAGAACTTTTTGCATCGAGATATTAAGTGTTCAAATATTCTTCTAAATAATAGGTATGATATGAGTTTGATATATATGTTTAAAATGAGTTATATAATATATACCTTGATTCTGTTAAAAAGATTTAAAATTTAGGTTTTTATTGCTCAGACTATTTTAACAAAATCAGTATTACAGCTTGGGCTACGTCTGAAGTTGTGTTAAATATACTTTAGTTAATTAACTTTCAATAATAGTTTGTAATGTATGTAAAATAATACTTAGTTGACTTGTTGAAGTTCCATCCATCCCCTCAGTCCAAGCAATTTAATAGGATTAATTGGATCAAACCTCTAAAGAATTTTACAGTCCCTTTGACCTTATATAAATAGAGGTTTTTGAGTCATAAAGACCTGAGTTTGAATCCACATAATAGTTTGAATCAATATACTAGTATACATAAACCATATAGTAGTTTAAGTGACCTTGGGCAAACTACTTAACCACTGCTTTTCTTTTGTTGTTGTTGCTCAATAACAGCTGTCATACCTACATGGGGGGGGCGGGGGGAAGGGAAGTAATAAAGATTATAGGCACCCCACCCAACCAAAATACTTAGTTGACCCTCTCATTTGATATTCTTCCAAATAATGTGAATGGTTCTTCTAATAATTAATCATGTGATTTCAGTTTTAGGTTAAGAATAGGTTTTAGCATCTTTTTTAATTTGGAATTTTTTTAAAAAACAGTCATCACAGTTTTAAAGTGAACTTTTTTTGAAGTGTATACGCATGTACATACATACATACATACATACATACATATTCAAAGCTTATGTTAAATATTTCACTGACAGCATAACCTGAACTCTGATAATTCTCTTGTAATTGGTACTATTTGTTGGTTTAAGTGAGGCATGCCTGGTCCTGATTTTAGTTAGTAGAAAGTGTTCTATAGAGCACCATGCCACTCTAAGAACTGGAAAATTAAACGTAAATTTAAAATGATGTGATTCATTTCTTGCGCATTATTGGCTGGAATTGAACAAATAATTTGTCTTATTACTAAAGTAGTATGAATTACCTCATTTTGTTTTATTTTCATTGAAGTGTACTTTTCTAAATAGGAACTGAATAGTACTGAGAAACTGTTATATTAGTACTGTTATTACTATATATAACAGTATATAGTAATACACTATACTATAATAAATATATATAATATATATAATAAATATACTATATATATATCATAATAACATAACAACAGTACTAGTGTAATAGTAGCTGAAATTATCCAAAGAAAAGTACTAATTTTTGCCTTATATTGTTATGAGTTTATCTATTTGCCTTTTCCTGTAGAACCTTGGGTACTGCAGTATAATCGAATTTTCAGTTATATCACTGAATTTTTGGTTAGTTCTAGGAATAGAACATGAATGTGTAAGATCAATTCAGAGTAGACTAATATTTTTTGTTCATTTTATCTTACTTCCACCAGAGGGCAGATAAAACTTGCAGATTTTGGACTTGCTCGGTTGTATAGCTCAGAAGAAAGGTAAGAATATTTTCAAATGAATATTATAGACATTAGTGACCAGTTTTAGAAGCTATATTAAGAATACCATATTGATAGTTTATTTTGTAATAAAAGGGAAATTTTCTTTCCATGGTTAAATACATGAAATAATGAAGTTTTATACCATGTTGGGTTGACTATTTTAATTACAAAATTTTATACATTAAATCAATGTAAAAATAATAGATTTTTTCATACTTAGAGGTAAATGTAATTTCTTTTCAAATATGCCATTTTAAATGTTTCTTAAATGAACTTAGGAATTTTTAAATAAAATTCATGCTTAAATTTCTAATGCATGTCCAGACGTTAAGATGTTTGTAATTTTTGTGTTTAATGAAAAACCTTAGTAAATGCTTTTTATGTTACATGTTTAAACTTGTATATTTTGTTTTAATTATTATTTTGGACTTACTTAAAACTTTTTTTTTAACTGTAGTTATATCTATATATAGATGTGTGTTTGGTTTAAACTCCCTAGAACCTTTTATTTAAACAAACTATTGTGAGGAAGTTCAGTGTATAACTTCTTTGTGTGGAGCTTCTGTGGCTAAAGTTAGGGATTCGTATCCCACTTGGCTCATTTTGTGCCTGATGGTAGTGAAATTGATTTGTCTTATTAGGATTATTTTTAGAAGAATAATACGGAATTTCAAAATAAAGTATTTTTGTGAAGTAGGGAATTTTATATAAACTATGAAATTAACTGGGTTTAATATCTCCAAGTTTATTAGCCCATTCCTTTCTTGTCAGACAGCATTATTTCTTTATATATAATATATATACATATATGTATAAATTCCTTACAACAGTTCCATAATTTATTTAGTGTAATCATAATTGGATATAATAAAATACCAGTTAATTGGACTTCTTAGCAATAGTTATTTACGTTCACTGAATCTTTGCCAGTTTCTGGTTAGTTGAAAAAAAATCCCCGTTTTGAATTTTTTTTTAAGAGTGAAAAATTTGTTTTTTAATCTTGCAGCGCCTGTGACATAATTCTGAAAATTATTTTTAGTGTTTAGAGGTTTTTAAATGGTATGTTTTGGATACATTAGAGTTCTGTTAAACTCAGACTGTGGTATGGACAGCTTGTTATGGACAGGGCTCCAGTCCCCTATACCTACTTCAGCCAGAGCTTTTCGGCCTTTATTTAACTTACTAGCCAGAGCTTTTCGGCCTTTATTTAGCTTACTACACTTTTAATTAATATTTTATTTTAAGAAAAGGTTGTATGTTTTTGCTTGTTTGTTTGTTTGAAGTTGTTCTAGAGCTTAACAGCTCTAACCCTCATTTTGTGTTTGAGAAAACGGAGACCTAGAAAGGGTTGAGTGACTTGAAAGATCCAAAAATATTTGTTAGTATCATCAAGAGTGTATAGCTCAAAGTTTCCAACTCCCAATTATTTATTCTTTCCATTGTGTATAATAGTGCCTTTCGATAGAATTTGAAGGAAAAAAATAAATTGGTCCTTAAGTATACTTAACCCAAAACTTCACTTGAAGTATACTTTTTGATTGACTAAATTTCAATGACTATTCTTTAGGGGGAAATTCTTCTTAATTAAGGATTCTACCTGCTTAGCTGGTTAACTGAGATTTCACTGTAGTTTGGTTATCCTTTCTTAATAGAAGTACATGTCTGTCATACTTTGACTGTAAATCCCTTTCTTCTTGTTTTCGTGTTAGGTTTCAGTGGAGATGGAGAACAGCTAACTTACCATTTTCCATCTCATAGATTCTTTTTATGCAGATATTTGTTCACATTGGAATAGATATGTTCCAGAAGAACTGACTGTAGAGCTGAATTTTATATGTCAAAATCCATTTTCCCATTGATTTTTTTTTTTTTCTCTTTTAAAATGGAATATTGGGTTTCAATGGAGTGTCAGGGGTGTGGCGTGTTCACTGAACCTTGGTCCCCATTGCCTTGCTGAATTGATATAAGAATTTTGAACTTAAGGAAGTAGAAAATTTAAAATCCCATAACTTTGCATCTTCAGGTAATGTATACTGAAATTTTCTGCTTAATCAAATTTGTAAGTTAAAAACTTGGTATATCATTTTGTTTTATAAGCAAATATCCTTTCCTTCAGGGTTATGTATGTCTTTAAAACTACTCTTTTTCAGATTCAAATAATTCCAGTTTCTTTAAAATCAGAGAAGTAGGCTTAATTTAATGGAATGACTTTAAAATACACATACTGGGGCTTCCCTGGTGGCGCAGTGGTTGAGAGTCCGCCTGCCGATGCAGGGGATACGGGTTCGTGCCCCGTT